GGCCAAGACTCCTTCAAATTTGCCTTTGACCCACAAGGAAATGGCTACCTTTGTGCCAGCTTCGCCTAGGCAAAAAGCTTCTTTTGATTCGCCAGAAAAAAAGTTGCCCTCGACCCACAAGGCACTGGCTGCCTTTGTGCCAACTTCGCCTAGGCAATGGCCCCAGTTTAAACAAATTGTACACACTTCAACAAGCGTGATAGCCATTCGAAGGACACATTTTGGTAGCCCATTCGAAGAGGGCACAAAGCATACATAGAAAGTCCATTCAAAATAGCCATGCGAAGGACACACCAAAGGCCCATTCGAAGGGTACACCAAGAAGGACCATCTAAAGACCAAGTCGAAAGAGGCAACTTGAGCCCAGTAGAAGGCTACACAAAAAGTCCCATTTGAAGGGTGCATGTGAGGTCCAATCAAAGGATAGAGACTGGAGGTATTCAAAAGCCAAAATTGTCCACATTTATTAAAATTTCCAAAAGAGGACAAGATCCCATATTTTTGGCCACAGTTACAAAACTTCATTCATGGCCTTGAAAACATTTGTTTATGGCAGTTTAAACTATTGTCTTCTTGTCCCCTCCCTTCTACTCTATATAAGAAGAGTGCTTGCAAGCCAAATAGAGTAGGACACACACCTTGGAGATACGCTTCTCATAAACCCACCAAAGTTATCAAAAGTCTCATAAGTGATCCAAGTCAAAGCAACCCTTAAACAAAGGTATCCACTTCCAGAAGCCAAATCGAAGCAATCATAAAACAAGGATATCCACACCCATCACCACATATTTATCCATCAATCATTGGTAAGAATTGGTAAAAAGATCAAACTCTACATTTGCATGACACATCTATAATTTCATTCGATTTGTTATCCAAGACTAAAGACCTGGGTTCAACCCCATGTCTGCTTTTGTTTTGTTTCAAACATTTGCTACAGATATAGCCTGCATAGACCTAGCACACGCAGGATCGAAGGACCTGGGTTTCAATACCTAGGTTCTTATTCTTTGTTTTTGCTAACGCACCTTTGCAAATTCAGTGCCTTCATAGTATCCACCCTCTGGATCAAAAGCCATATCATATCATAGAATCGAAAGACAACATCCCCTCTAGATCGAAAAGTTCATTCTCCCTCTGGATCGAAAGATCCATTCTCCCTTGGGGTCGAAGAGGCCATTCTCCTGCAATTGAAGGAATTCCTTTTTTTTGTATTTTATTATTTATTTCATTTCTTTATTGACCCTTTTTCTATTTAAATTAACATTGAATCAAAAAATCACAAAAAATATTAGACTAGTTGTTTTTCTAATTAAGTTAATTTGGTAAATAAATAAATTAATTATTTAAACCTCTTTCTTGAAATTAAAACTAAATAGACTTAGGTTATATTTTCTTAAAATAAAAACAAAACAAAAAGATTTTCATTTCTTAGGATATTTTTAGACATTATTTTCAATTTCACGCGCATTTTATTTAATTTCGCATTTTTATTACTAATGTACTTGCTCACTAGATGTAATAGATTAAAGCTATGACATTTACTGCTCTATCCCCCTCATTCTTGTATAATGTAAATCCCCTCCCCAAAGCATTATAATAGCATAGATTTAAATTCATGCACTTTAATATTCTGCAATATATATTAACCGCTAGTAATTAGGCGTGTATGATAAGACTTATAATCAAATGTTAACAAACTTAACAAAAAGACAAAAGTAACTGAATTGAATCAATACACATATATGCCTCTAGGGAGCCCCACTTTGCCTTTAAAAATAAAACAGTCATGAGGCAGGAACAATTTAGCAAAGAGCCGTAAATCAAAAATATCATAGTCCCTCGATGATCCTACAATTGCCTTCTCTGTAAATGATCTAGTCCCTAAACAAAATTGTTAAAGCGTCTCCACAAAGTGCCTTTGTGACTGTAACGTCCCTTTCAAATGTTCCTCATACATCCAACGATAGGACTACCTACTCACTAATAGTAGGATAACGTTGTCTAAAGGATAGGAGGAAAAGAATGACCCTTTTCGAGTATAAAAGTAGATAGTTGTTAGAAGTTTGCTCAAAAATATTTTGCACTTACACAAAATACTACTTTTCAAAAGCAATTTTCAAAATATTTGCTTTGTTAACACTCTTGAGGACTGATACAAGAGTTAAACGCAAAGCAAATCGCCACACTAAGGCATGTCAAAACATTTTTCAAACACACAAAGCGCAAAGGTATTTCAAAATGAGCAAACCTTTAAGAAAATATCAAAAAGGTCTTTTTCTATTCTTTTCACCCTTTCCTTAATTTGGATAAAAGAAAAGTCGGTGGCGACTCTTGCTTACAGTAACATTTGCAAACACAAAATGCAAAACCAGTATTAAACAGTCGATTCTGCCACCATATCACACGCGCCGTGTCAGTGGACACAAGCACCCGTGTCAGCATCTGTAATCCTTCCTCCAAAATTCCATGCTTCAGTTGACTGGACATGGGCCAAGTCACCGGACACGGGCACCCGTGTCAGCTTTTGTGATCTTCCTCTTCCACCTTTTAGCCCAGCTGATTTGACACGGGTTGTGTCGTGTGACACAGGCGCCCGTGTCACCTTCTGTCTTGCTTCCAACTTTACTTTTTCCAGTCTTCCCCCTGACACGGACACCCGTGCCAGGGCTCCTTAAGCACTTCTTTCTGAACTTCTGAATTCAACACTTTCCTACCCCGATTTGTCCTGTTTTATTCTTTTAAACCTGAAAACACTAAAATACCAAATCAAAGTATAAAATGCGGTAAACTGCAATAAAACACCATTCAAATAAAAAGAAATGATAACTAAAATAAATGCAAAATCCCGTGTAAAAACTACTGATCAGTTACCAACTTCATAACATCTCAACTTTATTCAAATAGCAACAGAAAGTCATATTAAAATATTCATCAAGTCATGTTTGTTCTTTAACTTTAAAAATATAAACGATAACCTTTCCAAACATCAAATTCCAACTCAATAATTAAAACAAGTGTCTCAGTCCTGATGTTACATAATCAGAGCATAACCGCTAAATAAACAACGAAGCTAAATGGAAATAACTTCAAAAGCTATCTTCCACTCACCGCAACAACTTCTAATCCTAATTATCTGCAAGATATCCATGATGGACAACATCAAAACAAATGAGGTGAGAACTCACATCAATAAGATAAACGACCTAAGATGCAAGGTAGAATACAAACATCTACACACATATATCACATAATTCACACAACTTCATTCTCACACCCATTTCATCAACATATACGTCACAATCACATATTTGTCATTTTAACTTATACCATGAGACTCTCACATCGAATATACTCATATGCATGTGGTACCATTCACTCAGGAATCGGGTTCACCCAGCTTGAATCTCGAATCCACCCTGCTCGGATCCAGGACAAGTCACTCATCCACCCTGCTCATATTACAATTTGCCTCTTTCATCAATAACAATGACATCATGAATGCATGTCAAATACGTCAATGCAACACAACATAATGTTTAAAGTCTCCTCCCGACAATCAACGATATGCATTGACCCACGATAATAGTTCACCATACTCGGGAAATTATCCCACAACACAACAACAATATCAATATCATTCAATATCAATATCACATACTCACCATCAACCAACAACCACAACAATATACTTATAAAATCAGCAAGTATTCAATAGAAAACATAGTAATCAGATACAACATCATCACTCACTTATACACAACCATCTCTCATCAAAATTAATAAAATCAATTAAAATTATTTTTAATCGTTTAAATCACGCCAAATAACCCCTAACACTACCCAATAGTAGCCAATAGTCCTGAAAACTCAAAAGAATAAAAAATGACATTTTTATGAATTCAAAATATCTCAACAAAATATTTTTATTAATTTATTCTATACTCTTAACTCGTAAAAGGTTATAATAATATATAATTATACTTCAAAAAATATATTTTTTTAAATATAGACAAAATTTTTATATTTTTTGAAAAAAAGAATTTGTTTAGAATGATAAAATAATATTTATGTTTTTACTTTGTAAAAAATTATAACAAAAATTATATTTGAATAATTTGTCTAAACCCTCCAAAATCCTCAAAAGCCCTCCTCCAATATAAATTTTGAGTTCCTCCAAATTTAAGAGTTTTTGGTGTTATGTAGAAAAACAAACCCTCCAAAACCCTCCTAACCAAAACTTTTCTATTTTTTTTATCCAATCCTTCTTATTATTCAAAGTCCTTCCTCACCTCCCCTCCAAACTCTTAAACATAGTCTAAACAACTCTACAAAAATTCATACAATTTTAAAATAACTCTAAATGATAAATATTTTCAACTAAACTCTAAAATATTATAATTTAATAATATTACATTATTATATAAATTTACTATTTAAATAATTAAAATACATATTTATAAATTTTAATTTATTAATGATAAACACATGCTTTAATAAATCTTATGTACAACCCAAACAATAATTTTATTTGAATAATACCGTAAACATTTAGTTACTAAACACAAGAAAGTACAAGTAAAAAAAGTTGTCGTTGCCAAATAGCCAAACAAAAAGTACAACACGCCTAAGACCATGTGCAATGGTGTGTTTAATTGAACTCAAGATGGCAAAATCATGTGCAATGGTGTGTTTAGAGTAGTGTTGAGTGTGTGTTGGAGGAGAGAGATGTTGAGAAAACTCAACACCATGTACACTGACGCATGGGCTGACGTGGCAGCGGCTGGTTGGCTTACCAGATTTTTATCCATTTAATACTTTGAACTCAATTATTTCGTTGCAAATTAATTTTTTTTTTTTTACCAAAATTCATGATTTTTTTTTCTCTATAAATAGAGACTTGGTTCATTTGATTTGGACACAAAAAAAAACTAAGTTTTTCACTATCTTAATTTTATTATTAGTGTTTATTTTGAAGTTAAGTGTCTTTTTTTAGTGAAATGGATCCCAATAATCATTTTAACACTCAAAATTCTGCTAATTTTCCATTTAACCAAAATCTCAACAATTTTCCAAATCCCAACAATTATCAAAATCCCAACTATTATCAAAATCCAAATCAATTTTCCAACCAACATCCTCAAAACATACCTAATTTTGGTTTTCCACCAAATTTCAACCAGACATCCTTTGTTCCAAACTTTCAAACATATTATGGATCTATGCCGAGAAATCCATCTCAAACACCCCCGTTTAATGGTTATGTGACAATGGCGAATGCAAATTTTCCAAGTGGTGGTGTACCTGAATTTCCCGAGTTTTCAACACAACTAACTATTGGTGGCATGATAGTTTCTAATGAAGTCGGTCTGAATTCAGAGGATTCAACTCCTAAGAGCAAGAAAACTCAGCAACCAGCATGAAACACTGAACAAAATTTGGTGCTAATTAGTGGGTGGATTAAATTTGGAACAAGCAGTGTTGTCGGGAGAAACCAGAAAGGTGAAACATATTGGGGTAAAATTGCTGAGTATTGTAATGAGCATTGCTCATTCGATCCTCCGCGTGATGGACCTGCATGCCGAAACCGTTTTAATTATATGAACAAAGTGTTGGGTAAATGGATTGGCGCTTATGATGGCGCTAAGCGTATGCAAGGAAGTGGTTGGTCGGAGAATGATGTTTTGGCAAAAGCGCAGGAATTATATGCATATGGGAAGAATGTTAGATTCACTTTAATGGAAGAATGGCACGCTCTCCGTGATCAACCACGTTATGGTAGTCAAGTAGGAGGAAATATTGGCTCAGGAAGTAGTGGATCTAAGAGATCTCGCGAGAGTGATGCATGTGGCTCAAACACTGTAGAATCCAGTGCTCGTCCTATAGGAAGGGAGGCAGCTAAAAAAAAAGGGTAAAAAGAAAAGCAAGGAATATGCCTCGGAGGTGGTGGACAAAGAATGGGCTGAATACAAAGAATTCAAGACGAAAGAGCTTGAACGATTGGACAACATAGCCTTGATGCAACAGCAGGCTAACAATATAGCCTTGGAGAAGACTAAAACCAAGAAAATGAAGATGTATCTAAAGCTAACTTCCGAAGAGCATCTAGATGACCGGAAGAACCAGCTGTTGAAAAAGTTAGAGGCAGAACTGTTTGATAATTAATTTCAATGAAGTATTTGTCAGTGTTGTGTTTGCTTTAATTATTGTTGTTTCAATATGTCAGTGTTGTGTTTGCTTTAATTATTGTTGTTTCAATATGTCAGTGTAGTGTTTGCTTTAATTATTGTTGTTTCAATATGCCAGTGTAGTGTTTGCTTTAATTATTGTTGTTTCAATATGCCAGTGTAGTGTTTGCTTTAATTATTCCTTATCTGATAATTAACTCTATACAATAAATTATTTCGAATCCGTCAGTGGTCCACCATCCAATTCGAATCTATTCCTTATCTGATAATTAACTCTATACAATAAATTATTTCGAATCCGTCAGTGGTCCACCACCCAATTCGAATATATTCCTTATCTGATAATTAACTATATACAATAAATTATTTTGAATCCGTCAGTGGTCCACCACCCACATCCATTTATATATAGGGACTCATACATCCATTTATGTACCAATATCCCAAATCCCATCCAATCTACCTCCAATATCACAAAAAAATGGATCCATCACAATATCATTTTGATATCGCAGCCTACAATCAAAATCGTGAAATTGAAGAAAATTATATAGTCAATCAATTTAGAGAGCGTAGAAACAAAATATCGGAAGATAATGCACCTCGTAGTAGAAAATATCTCAATAGAGATCATGCAGCGGCAAACCAAAGACTAATTGACGACTACTTTGCCAATGAGCCTACATATGACAATGCAATGTTTCGTCGTCGGTACCGGATGAAAAAAAATGTTTTCCTTCGAATCGTTGGGGACCTTTCAAGTAGTGATAACTACTTCACCCAGCGAGTTGATGCAGCCAATAAAGAAGGTATATCACCCTTAGCAAAATGTACCACAGCAATGCGAATGTTAGCATATGGTGTGGCAGCAGATGCGGTCGATGAGTACATCAAAATAGGAGGTACTACAACATTGGAGTGCTTACGTAGATTCTGTAAAGGAATCATACGCTTGTACGAGCAAGTGTATCTGAGAGCACCAACCCAAGATGACCTGCAAAGAATACTGCATGTTAGTGAAATGCGGGGGTTCCCAGGGATGATTGGGAGTATTGACTGCATGCACTGGGAGTGGAAAAATTGTCCTAAAGCATGGGAAGGACAATTTACTAGAGGGGATAAGGGAACCACCACAGTTATTCTTGAAGCAGTTGCATCTCATGACCTATGGATCTGGCATGCCTTTTTTGGATGTCCGGGAACGTTGAACGATATAAACGTTCTAGACCGGTCACCAGTGTTTGATGACGTGGAACAGGGAAAGGCTCCAAGTGTGAATTTCTTTGTGAATCAACGTCCATATAATATGGCATACTATCTAGCTGATGGTATCTACCCTTCTTATCCAACTTTCGTCAAATCGATTAGACTCCCTCAAAGTGAACCCGATAAATTATTTGCAAAATTTCAGGAGGGATGTCGGAAGGACATCGAACGTGCATTTGGAGTGCTCCAAGCTCGATTTAAAATCATCCGTGAACCAGCTCGCTTGTGGGACATAGCTGATTTGGGTATCATCATGAGGTCATGCATCATATTACATAATATGATTGTTGAGGATGAACGAGATTCATATTCTCAACGTTGGACCGATTTTGAGCAATCTGGGGAAAGTGGATCTAGTGCACCACAACCATACTCGACCGAGGTGTTACCCGCTTTTGCAAATCATGTGCGTGCTAGATCAGAGTTCCGTGATCCAAATGTTCATCAAGAATTGCAAGCCGATCTAGTGAAGCACATATGGACAAAGTTTAGAATGTTCCGTGATTGAATTATTTGTGTGTTGTATTGCATTTTAAATTATTTGTATCGTACTAATTACGTTACTTGTGTGTTGTATTGCATTTTAAATTATTTGTAACGTACTAATTACGTTAATTGTGTGTTGCATTTTAAATTAATTTAAGATGATTTGTATCGTATCCAATTATTTAAATAAATTTTGTTTTTATTACAAAAAATTAAAAAATAAATTATTAAGTATTTATTATTTTAATTTAATTTTAATCGATAATTGTAATTTTATGTAATCATAAAAATAAAAATAAAATTTAAATAAGAATATGAAAATAAAAAGTGGTGGGGTAGGGTGTTGAGTGAAAAACCATTGGAGAGGGTAAAAGTTGAATGGGTGTTGAGTTATTAGGTGGAAGAAAGAGAAAATGATGTGGAGTGTTGGGAGTTGAAAAAGGGGGTGTTGAGTTTTTCAACCATTGTAAATGGTCTAAGGGAATAATATGGTTGTATCCTCTGCAGAATAATTTGTCGTTGAAAGTGATAGTAATCTCTTCATTTTTCAATGGCTAAGAGCAATAGACACAGATGTTTTTGTTGAATGATTTAGATTATTACTATTATTATTATAAAATAAAATAAAGTTTATCAGATTTTAACTAAAAAAACTCGAAAACAACTTTCACCACTCTAAACATTTCAAATTCAAAATTAATCAAATAATTCTAAATTATTTTAAAGTATTTAATTGACATCTCTTGCATAGATAAATAATTCAATTTAACTATATTGATTAACAGTGTTACTCAAGTAATAATAAAATAATTCTAAAACATGTCAATGTGACTCAAATAATAATTCTGACAACTTAATTTATATTCTATCCCTTAACTCAATTCATAAAATAACTTAAACTTTGTTATGAATAAAGATAATTGCGGATGTCTATCCTTAAATCTTATAAATAGGATTACATTGTAATGTATAATGTATCTTTTGAAATATGATAATACAACTTTAGTTTCTTTCTTTTCTTTCTCTCTTTGATCTCTCTATTATTTTATTTAGTTTTATAACACGTTATCAGCATGACGCTCTCAGGTATAATTTTTTCACTTCTATATCAAATTAATCTTGGATCACCATTTGTTTAGAATCATAGAAATAAGAAAAAAATAGTTGAGTATGTGATATAATTTATTCATATTATTATTGATGACTTTTGTAATTTTAAAAGGTTGTCAAAAGATTGTCATTCTAGAAAAATGACACAAATAATTTTAACGTATCTCTGAAGGATGGTTATAATTTTTAGATTATTATTTGTAACAAATCATTCATATAGTTCCCGAAGAACCTATAAAACATAACATTTCTGAAGGATAGCAAAATAACATTGTATAGTTCTTGAATAACCAAACCTGTAAGACTTTATTTGTTATTTTTTCGTTTAAAACGGAACAAGATAATTTTTATTCCTCATAAGGAAGGTAGTTGAGAATTTTTTTTATTAATGTAAACACTTTATATTATTAGTTATTATTTTAAAATACCATGATTTAAGAGATTAAAATTTGTTTGAGATATTATTATTTCATGATTTTGATTGAGTTAACAATTTAGATTTTAAATTAGCTAGACTAATGTAACAATCCAATTTACTAATGTGTTATTTTAAATATTAAAATTTACAAATGTGTTATTTTTAAATATTAATATTTAATATTGCCTTTATAACTATTATCTCATTATAATTTTTTAGTACTTAATTTTTTGATCTAATTTTAATATTTTTATGATAGAATTAAGTATGTTAAATCTTACGAAATTGGATTTTGAGGTTCTTGATATTTCAGGAATAAACTATTTGACATGGGTTCTAAACGCTAAAATTCATTTAAGCGCAGAAGGTCACAACGACACTATTATAGAAGGAATACATCATCTGATCAACAAAAGACAAAAGTCATGATATTCCTTCGTCGCCAGCTTCATGAGGATCTTAAAAATGAATACCTTACAGTAACTGACCCACATATTCTGTTGAAAATTTTGAAAGATAGATGTGATCATCAAAAAACGGTAATCCTACCAAAAGCTTGATATGAGTGGATGCATTTACGTTTGCAGCATTTTAAAAGTGCAAGTGATTATAACTCTGCAATATTCAGAATAACTTCTAAGCTGGAACTTTGTGGAGAAAAAATAACTGATGAAGATATGTTAGAAAAACATTTTCCACTTTTCATGCATCTAATGTGCTCCTGTAGCAGCAATATTGAGAAAAAGAATTTAATAAATATTCTGACCTAATATCTTGTCTTCTTGTGGTTGAGAAAAATAATGAACTATTAATGAAAAATCACGAGGCTCGTCCCACTGGTACACCTCCATTCCCATAAGTGAATGCAGCAAGACATGATCACTATGGAAAAATCATGGCGTGGTCGTGGTTGTGGCTGTAATCATGCTCACGGTCTTGGTTTTGATCGTAGTCGCAATGGTAAACATAAGAACACATATTTCCACCAGCAGTGAAAAAATGTTGAAAAGAATGAAAAAGAGGGTTAGAGTAGCAAAACCAATGAAAATAATTGCTATCGTTGTGGAGGAAAAGGTCATTGGAGTCGCACTTGTCGCACTCCAAAACACCTTGTTGATCTTTATCAAACATCACTGAAAAATAAAAAGGCAAGGATTGAATCTCATTTTGCTAATGAAGATGATGATCCAGATTACGGTAATATGGGTGTTACCCATTTTGATGTTGGTGACTTCTTTGCTGATCCAGATGGAAAAATTGATCACCTTATTGTAGATGGAAGTGTCAAGAAATAAAATTTTTGAAAATTTCCTTTTTAATAAGTTTTTTTATGGATGTTTTGAATTTTATTTTCTAATAATAAAAAGTGTGTTTTCTACTTGTTTATTCACATAATTTATTGTTTAAATGACTTGTGTTTTTATAACTTATTGTTAAAAATTATTATTGCTTTTAGAATGAATATGGACACTAGCACCAGTAATGAAGATATGTGCCTTGCTGACAGTGCAACAACTCATACAATTCTCAAGGATAAAAGATGTTTCTATAATTTAGTGAATCAAAAGACTGATGTCAGTACTATATCTGGCACCTCGAAAATAATTAAAGGCTCCGAAGAGACAATATGTTGTTACGTGGAGGAACAATATTGCATATTGATAATGCATTATATTCCCCTAAGTCTCATATAAATT